TCTTTGTAAAAGAACGACTTGATTATATTTTTAAATAAGTTGTGTATTTTATCGTGTGCGTGTGTTCAAATATAACATCAATTTTACAGATTTCTTAGAAAATATTTTGTTACTAATCATACCTGATAACACACTTAGCACCAAAAAAAAAATACCTGATAACACACTTAGCACCAAAAAAAAAAAAATACCTGATAACACACTATTTTACATATTATCACGTATTTTAAATATTTTTTGAAATTACGTTACCCCCAACAAATGAACTCTTATCTACGTCAATCATAATATAAATCAAACATTATTACTGTTCAAATAATATATTTTCAAAATTATGTTTCCGCAGCAAATAAACTCTTATTTATATAGAGAGAAAAAAACATAAAATATATTCTTATTTATTCCAATCATAACATAGATCAAAGACACTGGTCTTTTGGTTAAATCTGCATGGCCTATTTTGGTCTATATTCCACTTACAGTCGATGCAAGGATGACCCTGACGAACACCATCTCTGATATCATCGTAAATATCAAACCAATGTGATTCTTGATTCCACATAAAATGACAGAAAAAGAGTGTTGTTCCAAAAATGTTTGGTCTAAACTCAAATGACCAAGAACTATTCGATGTGAGAGTTTTAACACCGAAATCGCTATTTTTGGATTTACAATGGACGATTAATTTTAAACCACCACCAAGACGATTGTTAATCTCCACCTTTGTTTTCAGAAAAGCCCAATTAGTATCGTAAGAAGGAACAATGGTTTCTTCTTGTGACAATCCTAAATGGACGAGTAGAGATATTACCAACACATGAACTTGTGTTTTTTCCATAATTCCAATCTTGTTAAGACCAAAGTGTTAGCATTGGTAGACTTCTTGCTCAACAAAAATTTAATTTTGGAGACGAATAAAAAAAAAAGTAAAGTCAATGGTAATAGAGTGCAATGATATCAATATTGACACATGATCTCTTAAATATCTATGCTAGGCCAAAGAGACCATGAGAGAAAAAGCTTGTAAAAACCATCCAATCAAATCATGACATATCATTTTTGACAGATTCTAGATTTAGGAACAGAACAATTAAGAAAAAGGCTAAAAAAATCTATTGACATACCCACCACCCATAAATGAAGATCTTGCGTATATCATTGCGAGAGATTTTTCTTCAATTTTATTTTGGATTTTGGGAAGATTGGCCGTGTGTAAAACTTATTGGTTAGAAATCTGATCAACTATGGTTAAGTCTTAGAAAATATTGTGATGCCAAAATGTGACATCATTTTGACGGATGAAAAACTCGTTGAGACATGTTTTAGCCGGATCTCATGTAGTTAGTTGAGTAATCGGATTATCCAGTGGATCCAAAACATGACACTATCTCAACTAGTCAAACGAGAGTAAAAGAATTCCTAATAGATATCGAACCCGAAGGAAGATCGAATCGGATTAAAAATATGGGATTTAAGTTTATAACTTGCAATGTTGATTTCCATCTCTAAAAGTCTAAACAAAAACAGTACTCTAAACATTTAGTAATACATCTCAAACAAAACGGTTATCAATATTTTTTCTATTCAGGTCTTATTGGTGAGGAGAACTTCTTGAGGAAGCAGAGTGTAATCAATGTGAAGACCCTCCAACATCTTCTTAATCGCCAAACAAAGTTCAGTTCTTCTGATATTCCTCTCTCTGTATTCCTGAAACGTGATGGTGTGGTTACAATACAGAGCCATCTTTAGCTTGTTCATGTTCTCTATCTCTTTCACCACCACCGTGTGTATCACTGCCCAATGCTGCGGATTCTGCTCCAAGTAACTGACACACAAAACACCAATCTTTCAAGATTTTGATCTACCAAGTAGCAAAAATCGAAAACAGTTTCGAAATGAGTGAAAAAGGTAACTTACTCGGCGATTTTTTCTTTAAGATGTGCAATCTTTGAGACTGGCGTCGAAAACGCGATGGAGAATTCTATTGTATCTCCCATATCCGGACTTCTGAAGTAATTGCTTATCGGTTTCGTGGCCAGAACAGCGTTCGGATAGTACACTTTCTCGTTGTCAAGCTTCAAGAACACCGTTGTTAACAGGTTCATTTCTTCAACCAGCAACTGAACATAACCAAACCGCAAGAATGTGAAAAGTTCTTTCTTTTATGTAAAGGGAGACATATAAGTTATATGGGTTTAATGGAACTTTAGAGGTGAGTTTTACCGGTGTACCATCTATGACGCAGCGGTCACCGACATCGTAAGGATGCATAACGAAGACAAAGATGATGGATTCAAACAGGTTTTTGCAAGTGCTTCCGATTATAAAAGCCAGAGCCACAAGTTGGGTGGAGAAAAACAGCAAAACCTTAGTCGTTGCTACTTCAAGAAGCAGCAGCCATATGACGAGGGTGATCACGATCAAGATCCCTGTCACGAGTTTGTTTAGCTGCTTAACCGCTGTTTTTGTATCGTTTAAGGAATGAGCTAGAGCTTTCCGGCTCTGGTACACCTTAACCTGGTCAAATACCAACACAACACAAGTAGTTCAAAATCAAGAAACACACACTCTAATCCGTAAAACCGCAGAATTGCGATTTCAATGTAAGTGTTTGATGAGACTTACCGCCCATTCATTCAAAGCTTTTCTGGTGATTCTCCCGGTCTCCACCGCACCATCAAACAAAGGGAATACAAGATCAGCTTCTTCTTTAATCATGAACCTAAGCAAGTCTTCTTCCTCTATGTAACTGAAAAATAACCAAATCAAGAGATTTCCATTAGAGAATGCACACGAAAAGAAGACAATAAAGAAAATGCATAAGAATATTGTTTTCTTACTCGAAGCAATGCTGAGCAACATTTCTGAAGACATGGTAAGCAGCAGCCAAAGCCTCCATCTCATTGGTAATCTCTTTATCAGTTTTCTCTTTCCCATCGCCGTATGCTGTTTCATCCAATGTGTCAGAGATTGTAGAGAGACCTGAAGTTCTAACCGCTTCTACCAAAACCCGCATATTCCAAGCGGAAACCTTTTCACGCTTCATCCTATGAACTTTCCCCATGTCAATCAGTTTCTTCTCTTTAACCTTTCCTTTCTTCTCCACGGTCGTGAAACTCAAATGGCCTGTGGTTGGCTCACGCCCAACCCTCTCTGCTTGTTCGATAAGTGGAGGACCCGAGAGCGTTTGTAGAACATACTGATGAAAGACCGAATCTTGAATCCTGTCGAAAAAGTTATTGACGTTGAAATTCGCAGCCAAGATTTTCAACATCAGTGTTTTAAGCAGCCAAAGGAATGACCCCGTTAGAAGGGAAATAAGAGTCATGGTTAAAACTTTGAGGATTTTAGAGGCTGCATGGGATCGATGAACATCGCGGTTGAACAGCAATAACCAAGCAACAAGTATCAAGATGAGCCATATGAAGACTTGGACGCTCTTCTTCAAGCCGTGCACAAAGTATAGCACTTTTCTCCTCAAAAGAAAGTTTGCTTCAATGAGGAACACAACCAAACGCATGAACCAATTCGTCACCAACATTCCGCTGAATATAACCATCACAAGCACACACCATTTCCAGACTTCTAGTCCCCAGAAGTGATAATGTTTCAGGACATCAACGGTTAAACTAGCAACCAAAGCACTCAAAATCACCACAAAGAAAGCAGACTCTATCAATGCCAATGCACTTATCCTACTACGCTTCTCTCTGTTCAGCTTAACCTTTTTGTAGATTTCCTCATCTTCGTCTTTCCCAACAACCGCTTTACTTGGAGTTTGCGGTGTTGCTGACCCGTCACTCCTATTCGATTTGTTATTTGGAGAACCTCTACTAAAAGAGAAAGCAACACCAAGTTCCCTAGCATCTTCCTTTAGCTTACTTGGGTCTACAGGACAATTTGGTTCCACAAACCGGGACTTAGGTTTCGAGTAAACAGACCTCGCAAAAGATTTCCTTTGAGTTAGACCCTCATTGTTAGGACTTGGAGATCTAGGAGGCTTGTTAGGACTACCAACAAGCTTAGAGATTTCAGGAGAAGGGCTTTTACTGATGGGAACTGCTTTCTCAGACTCTGGTGAGGCCATTCCCTTGGAATGCCTTGGTGAAGCCATATCCTTGGAATGCCTTGGAGAAACCTTTGATGCTTCTTCACCTGAAACATTGATAACAACATCTCCTCCATTGCTGCTAATCTTTCGTTCTGCCATCATTCCTTTGACAACAATGGCTCTGAAAATTTTCCCACAAAAAACAAGATTAAGAACACTGTGTGGGTGATAAAGTACCCATTTTCTTATAGAGGAAACAAAAAATTGACCTTATAGACAAAAGGGTTTAAGAAACTCTGATGCTTGTTCTTAGGTTTTTGGGCAAAATGTGGAATCTAATCCCTTAAGCAGAGATTTGCAACAAAAAGTCTACAGATATTTACACAAGAAGAATATTCAGAAAAACCCACCATTTAGCCCAACGAAATCTATAAGAAAGATCCAAACTTTCCAAGATTAAAAAATCAGAACTTTCCCAGAAAAAAGCCAAAAAAACCTAATTAAGAATTACAGTAAAAAGAGGTTACCAGTAGCGAGATATCACCAACAACAAAAAAAAAAATTCTTCTTTTTCTTCTGTGAGTATCAATAAGAGCTCATTCTTGAAGAAGAAGACCAAAAAGAGAAACAGAGATCTTATTCTTAGGAGATAGTACACACCACCACGACCATTATTAAAGAGAAGAATTCAAACATTTGGTAAAGAATAAAGTTGAAAAATAAAGACCCAAGAAAAAAAAGATGCAAATAATAGAAAGCTTGAAAGAGAGAGGCGGTGGAAAAATCTTGCCTGAGAAAAATGGCTTAAACCCAGAAAAACCCAACAAATACAAAAAGCCAAGTAATTAAAAAACAAAACATGTAAAGCTGAAAGAGAAAAGGATTGAGAAGATCTTACATTAACAAAAACACTTAAGGCGGGTCCAAGGAATGAGAGAGAGATCTCTAAAAGACTTTTTAAGCTTGATTACTTTTTCAAAAAAACAATTAGGAACTTGTAATTTACTCTTTAACAAATTTTTAGTTGAAGATGCAGAGATGGTGGAGTAGTTTAGTCGACCATTGATATAATAAAATCTTTATAATAATTGCTAAACGCTGGCTAAACTTTTTTCGTCATTAGCAAAAGTACTAATTTTATATAAGTGAGTTGGATAAAAATGTTAACTTTGCTTTATTGTGGAAAATGTGCACACAAAACTTGGTTTTTAGTCAAAGAATCTAACCTAAGTCCTATTTATTTAAAAATCGTTTAATTACTCCTATGTACTATCTGACAACAAACATTTGCTCTGTCCTAAAATGTCAGAG